TTGTTTGTTTAAGGTTTTCAAAGTTAAAATTGTTCATGACTATTTGACAATTTATGTTTTCAGGGTCTACTGAGTGTTTTTTATGAGATGTTTGAACAAATTGAGCATATAATATGTCTCAAACATTTATATGCCAATTTTAAGAAGAAATTTGATGGTGGAGCTACAATAAGGGTCTGGTTCAACTTCAGATGCACCATTGACGGGCCTAGTTAAACTTCAGATGCACCATTGGTGTTTGATGAGGAGCCTTCTTTGAAGAGATCAAGACAGGGGGAAGATATTGCAAGGAGAATGATTCAGTAATTAGATTGTCATTAGGTGTCATTTTGATTTTCTTAAAACAACTTTGTTATGCTATTATCTGCCAACTCTTATTATGCACATTATGTGTCATGTTTTGTAACAACTCTAATTATGCACATTATGTGCCATTTTGTAACTTCTTTTGTAAGGCTTACTTAAGTACCTACTAATATTGGTTGTAATGCTAATGAAACATATGTTGTATTTTGTTGTGCTTTCAATATGTTGTATGTTGTATTTTGTTGTGCTTCCAATTATATGACATTTTACACAAAATTTGGTTGCCTGATCTTGTTATGCACAATATGCTGTAATTATATATATAATAGTAACATTTCAATATCTTTCATTAATTCAACGACAAAACATTACAACCTTATACAACAAAGACATCAATGTCAACACCATCTTTCATTAATTCAACAACAAAAACATTACAACCTTATACAACAAACACATCAATTTCAACACCATCTTTTATTAATTAACAGCAAAACATTACAACCTTATACAACAAATACATCAATTTCAACACCATCTTTCATTAGAAAGAATATGACAAAAAAACAAAATTCAATTGAAAACAAATAAATTAAAACACATTATATTGTTCATATGCATTTACCAACTTTCATTTTGAAAATAAAAAAACAAAAATAAATTTTTTAGAAACATTCGAAAATATTTTTTTAATAAAAAATATTTTTTTAACAAAATTAATTTTGAAAATAATGTTTTTCTTTTTTGAAAATAAAAAAAGGTGTTTTAGTTTTCTTTTAATTTTTTTTCTGATAATAAAACAAAATGAATGTTTTTATTCTTAAATGAAAGTGATTTTTTTGTAAATTTATTTTTTCTTCTAAAAACAAAAAAATATATATATTAAAAAAATACTTTTATTTAAAAATTAAAAAAAAAACTATTTTAAAAACAATATACTTTTTTGAAAATAAATTGATTTTAAAATAATACAAAAATATATAAGGGATTTATAAGTTATCTTTATTTAAATTTTAAAAACTGTTATTATACTTTGATTTGAAAATATTTAAAGAAGTATTAAATAATTTAATTTAATTTTAAAAATTTTAAATATAGTTTATCTTTAAAATAATATGTCATTTAACACAATCAAAAAATAATTAATAATTTTTTTCTTCTGTGCCCTACAATAATAACTTTATATAATAGTTAAAGGGAAGAAATTCAAATTCATAATTGTCGTGCATGTACCAAAACTGAGTTTTCTCATTGAAGTGCAGAGAAAAATAAGTATCTCTTAATTTCAATAACATCTAATTCCTTGTTTGACACAATGAAGGCCCTTTTTAAGAAATTGCGTGTGACTTCTTACCAATTAATATGAATGCATTCATTCACTATGCTTCTTATTGATGTCGACATTCAAACTTATTCAAACTTATGTAAGAATTATTTATTTATGTTGGGTCATTTTGAGAAACATTAAAAGTAATATATAAGTTAGAGATATATCTCATATTTATCCAAAACCGTAAGATGATAGATATATTGGTCATCTTACTTATAAAGTGTTCAACTTCTACTTTTTAAGCAATGTGAGACTTCTAACTCACATTTGTACACAACAATCTCCCCCTCAAGTGTGACTTCATCCACTATAATCCTCCTCAAGTGGAAGCTCTTTCATTTCATCCATGTACCATTGTTGTATGCACCACAACGGAACACGCCGCCTAATCACCACATTGTTAGTAAGACTTTCGATACAAGGAGTCGGTCCCTTAATTGAACCATCGACTCTGATACCATTGTTGGGTCATCATGAGGAGTATCCACATTGGGTCAAGAGCAACACACAAGTGAGAGATGCCACATATTCACTTAAAACTTTAAGGTGATCAACCTCCACTTTTCTAAGCAATGTAAGACTTCCAACTCACACTTGTACACAACAATCTAACATTTCACAGAAAGCATCGACTACACACACATGATATGATATGTCGTTAGAGCTTATTTATCCACTGACTTGTAACTTGTGAAACAATGTCTTTGAAATTAAGCGTTCATCTCTAATTTCATATCATGTGTATTTGAAATTTCTAGTATACCAGAAATTTTGAAATTTCTGGTACGTTACAATTTGTACCGGAAATTTGAAATTTACAGGTTCATATCGGAAATTTCAACCTACGTGAAATTTTTGGTAGTGTTATTTTTATTTTTTGGATGATCAGGATTTTGCCGACAGTTTTGGATGACTATGATTGCACCGACAATTTGTGTGGTTTAGAATAAATATAAAGTTGTATAAATAGTGGATTGCATGTTGTTTGATAAAGACATCTTAAAAAACACCTCTTCCACAATTTTTGATTAAGGAAGAAGTGTACGTCAATGGAGTTTCTCCTCCTGTAGAGTTCCAACTTTCAGATGACACTGCATCTCTTGTCGGCCTGACGTCGAAGTTGAATGAATTATTTTCTGATGCTGAAAACAGAAAGGTGAGAAAGATCGAGTTTCGTGAAGATTGGATTAATACTAACAATAGGATGAAATACAACCTTATTGAGTTGAAGACCGGTGAAGATGTGAAGAAAATGTGGAGTTCATTTCTCTGTAGGATAACAAAGGGGCCGATTGAGTTAGATGTTAAGCTTTCAAGATCCGTTGACGACATAATGGAGATGCTGAAACGTCCAGAAGCGTCTGATAGTGTTTAGGTTTTTCTTATTTATTAATCATATTGTAGTGTTAAGTTTTTTCTATTCTCTTATATAATCCATTGTCAGATGTCTGAATAATATAAGAAAGATCAATAATATTAGCTAATAAAGTTTTATGATGAAGATGTCTGAATAATATACAAATAATATAAATAATACAAAAGATGTCTAAATAGGTCCCCCACGGGCTATGTGTGCAACCCGAGTTAATCCAGTATAAACCTTGCCATCTGGGTTTACCAAACCCATGAGGTTATTCATAATAATTGTCATCCCCAAACAGAAGATGAAATAATGACGTCTCCTTGTGCCACCTCTCAACAAACGCACTAAGTAATGGAGCGTCCAACATGGTGTGAGGGAGCAGTGGGCAAAATCAAGTAGCTGAAAGTCCTGTATAATCCGACTGACTTACTCAGGCATTGGAATTTTTGAAAAGTCCTTCATCTTCGATCCATCTGATGTCACCTTCAGTGTGGGTCGCTCTTGTGACAAAAAAATATAAACAAATTAGTTGATACATTATGTGACAGACATATATAAAAAAAATTAAAGTTAAACGTAAAAGACATATACCTCGCCCTGCCATAGTCGTAAGGCCACATGATCAACATACTCTGTAAGCACCGAACGGTCGATGGGTCCTCCTAGAAATTCTCCATCCGTGTGCACAGAAGGCACAGTCGAATGAGCAATAACCTTCGTGTTAGTAGCAACCGATGAGACCGACTCGCCAATAGCAGCAACATCCTCCTTAACAACATTCTCAACAACCTTCTCAACAACCGGATCAACAATCGAATCTACCACGGGATCAGATACAACAACATCTGGCACCATCTCATTTGTAGGTTGCTCTACTGATCGACCCGATCGGCGTCGAATGGAACGAGGTGTCCGAAACTGGCCCTGCTCAGTCAACCACTTTCAGTGTGAACTGGTTGAGACCACTCGTCATGCCTGTATCTAGGAAGACTCAGCATCAGCACCCCTGACAGCCTTACTCTGGTCTGTCGCTCGATCAACAACTCTCCCTACAATAATATCGCTTCAGTCTCTGAACTTCACTGCAAAAGAAGAAAAATATCAAAATAAAAAAATTGACAACTGCTAGAAATTTCAAAATTTCTGGTACTAAACAAAATTTCTGCACAAACTGAAAATTTCAAAGGAAATAACGGAAAATTTGAAATTTCTGTTACATATTTCACTAAAAATACCTGAAACTTTGTACAAAATATTGGAAATTTGGAAATTTCCGATGATAAACTCACTGTTTTTCAAATTTTCGGTAGCACGCTCGAAATCTCCGATACCGCCCCTAACCTATGAATTTTGAAAATAATTTTACAGAGTTAGTATTGTATTTTCATACGTTTTTGGGGTGTAAGATATAACTTGGATTGCAGGTTAAATCCTCCTGAAACATGAATTAAACTAAATAAAATCAAACCAAATTCTTATTAGGGTTGGTTGATACATCGCTTAATTTTGTAAATAAAGAGAGAATTCAAAGATATATATATATATATATATATATATATATATATATATATATATATATATATATATATATATATATATATATATATATATATATATATATATATATATATATATATATATATATATATATATATATATATATATATATATATATATATATATATATATATATATATATATATATATATATATATATATATATATATATATATATATATATATTTTTTTTTTTTTTTTGAAGTCTCACATGACTTAATTTTGTGAAGGAAGTAAGAGTTCAATGCTATATGTATGATTTAAATTTTTTATTCTAAGATATACCAGTCAAAAACATTTTAAGCTTGTATTTGACTTTTTTATATTTTCTCTTATACTTAGAGTGTTGTGAATGGTAGTTAAATATCCGTACGATTCCGGGCGAATTCAACTCACTGAATAACTGCTGCCGGCAAACGCCTCCACCGCAAATCTGCAAACTCCATGGCAGATTGGTCTAAGCTTCCGAAGAATCTTCTACAACTGATCTCAGGAAAACTCAACAATGAACTATATTCCATTCGATTTCAATCTGTTTGTTCATCCTGTCGCTCTTCTTCAATCCCTAGCTACCATCACCACCATTTATCTTTGAAGCTTCCAAATTCTCCAACGACACTAACTTCAATCCCTATATTTGAGAGTGAGTGTGAGTTGTTGCTAGTTGATTACTATGCTGGTGATGATGTATTAATCATGGAAATATTACTATATTCTTATTTTAAAATTGAAAACATTACATACTAATTAATTTTGAAGTGCCAAGTGTATGGTGAAAAGGAGTATACAACAACAGATTCATGTAGATTTGTCTAGATGCATACCTTACATCATGAACCTAATAACTCATCACAATTATGAAGCTCTTTTTCTCATAAGACTTTTATGATATTCACAGCAAAAGCATTGAAAAAATTTACATTTGAAACAGTTTCTAAAATACTTAGTCAAATAATCCATTTGAAAATTGATACACATGAATTACTTAAATATATTCATTGGTCACAAATTCTTCAAAGACTTTTGTCTATTTTTTTTAATAGTATTTCAATAGTGAGATACGCCCAATTTATGTCATTTGGCAGCATTAAATAGATAGGGACATTAAGGATAATAATAGAACCATAAAAGAGGGATTGTAGCCCCACAATGGAATGCAACCCTTAGAGGAAACTAAAATGAAATGTCCAAATATTGAGGTCATTTTCTAATGTCATTAAGATGCTTTTTTCTGCCACCAGCCTACAAACACACCTCATCTAGATAGAGTCGTGGAAAGTGGGTTATATTGTGTGAAAAATATTGTTAGTAAATTTCAATTAAAAAACAAATCATTCAAAAGAAATTAAGTTTAAATTTTGATTATAAAAATCAATAGTAAATTTTTATTTATCTTTAGTTGAACTTTTGATTATTTTCTGGCCGGTGGTGGCGGTGGTCACTCGACGGTGTAGCGGTTGATTGTCGACAACTATTTGGATGAGTTATGGATTTTTGATTTGGTTGGTTCAGTAATGAGTGAGTATGTTTTGAAAAAAGATGACACGAGGAAAATAAATCATAGTTAGACATACATGAGTAGAAAATCTTTGAAATATGTTATATGGAATTTAACAAATCTTTAAAGGTATATAAGGGGATTGAAAAATATTTTTATACCCCTTAAATTTGTGATATATATATATATATATATATATATATATATATATATATATATATATATATATATATATATATATATATATATATATATATATATATATATATATATATATATATATATATATATATATATATATATATATATATATATATATATATATATATATATATATATATATATATATATATATATATATATATATATATATATATATATATATATATATATATATATAAAGAATTACGAAACACTTGCATAGAAGATAAGGGTGTTCTTAAGAATTTGAGAGATTATTTTCTTATAACTCATGTGTAACCTCTTGTAATAATTTTTGAAAATATTGTAAATTGGAGAGTTATTTTCTCTCCTATAGTAGATTGATTTTATCGAATTGGGTAACTAAGTTCTTTGTGTACTCATGTTTTATATTTCTCTTGTTACCATGTATTTGCTTATAGTGTTTAGCAAGTTGATTTTTGTTTGAGGCTATATATTTAAGTTGTTAGTGTTTTTTTTTTTCACACATCATTATTCTTGGTGTGATTAATGTTATTGTTATATTTCACAAAGAGAAGTTCTTGGCGTGGTTAACCTTTCAATTTCACAAGAAGTGACACCCACCTTGAGAAAAAGGGGTTAAATTTAACATCATAAATTATAAATGGAATATTGATAATTTATCAAAGATAATGGTTTTAGGTTGTGGAAAATGAAGATGTTGACAATATTAATTCAATGAAATTATGTTAAAGTATTGAAGGGTAAGGCGTCAATGCATGCACAACTAACACAAACAAAGCATACTGAGATGGTAGATAAGGTCATATGTGCCCTTATCTTGTATCTCTGGAATAAAATTCAAATGGAAGTCCTTAGAGAGAATACCGCGATTTCGATGTGGGAAAATCTTGAACCGTTATATATGATCAAATCTTTGACTCATAAGTTGTGTTTGAAACAACAACTTTAGAAACAAAATTAAAAAAAAAAAAACCAAAATGGCTACCTTTCTACAATGAGTCGCCATATGAAATGGCTGATCAAGGTCACCCTGACCTGAGTCGCCATTTCATATGGCGTAAGGGTATAAAAATTGAAACCCTACCCTACGCTGAGTAGCCATACCATATGGCGCCTCAGTTGTTGGGTTTTTTTATATAATATTTATTTTTTTGTTAAAAAAAATATATAATTAAAAAAATAATAAAATTTGTTATTTTTAATATTTTGTAAAAAAAATATAATTAAAAGAAATAATAAATTTTGTAAGGGTATTTACGGCATATCATATGTGGTTCATACTATTTCATTTTTCTATAAATAAGACTGCACACTCATCTCTTTTTCACAACAATTTTCACCAATAGACTCAACTCTTCATAATTTTCAAATCAGTCTAGAATGTCTGCATTTCTAAATCAATGTTCATCTTCATCATCATCATCATCGGAGGAACCGTTTCCAACATTTCCTCTAATGAAAAGAAATGCCCTAGTTTATTTTTCAGCAACAAAGCCTCCGATGAAGATGCTACTATGGAACATGCAGACTTTGGAGCATTTGCATAGGGAACTGAACTACTGGCTAGAAGGAGATATTGTTGCAGGTGAAAAGATTAGGAAAATTGAGAGGTTGGTTGAGGAGTCAGGGAGAAACAGAGTTACTCGTGATTGGAGAAAAGTGGAAAATGATGCTGGTGTCCTTGTGATGATGTTAACACCAAAGAAGATTACCTTGATGGTTGTTATATCCTAGACAAGTTGATGCATTGTGTTGTTTTATGTGGGTTTGTTGTTGTTATTTTCGGATTGTTATTTTTATATTAGGTTATGTTGTTGTTATTTTCGAAATGTTATTTTGATATTAAGTTATGTTTGTTTAATTTATGTTGCTTGTTAATTGTAATCGCTTAGCTATGCTTTTAATGGAATGAAATTTATTGTTGATTTAAAGGGACACGGTTACATTAGAAACTATGATCCTGTGTTTGATCCTACATTGGAATATTTTGTACGATTGTGTCCTAGTTGTCGACACGAACTACATAATTTGACCATTTTGTTTGTTGCATCCATCTCCGTTTGAATGCGCGTGCTATTAGAGCGACCCTTTTTCTTTCTTTGCATCAAATCATTATGCCAGACAATTCCGCCTTCGTATGGAGGCCAATGGTCCTCCTTTGCCATTACTTGAAAGCTACATGTGTAGACATTATATAGACTTATCACTTGGTGAACAACAGAAAGATAGTTGGTTGGGCCATGGCGCGCCTTCGAACATGCTGCTATAACATGGGAGCAAGGCATATGAAATGCCTGAAACTTTCCACAGTCACACCAACTCCTATCCATTTCCACTCAATAACATCCCCTAGGCCTTCCTTCATTATGATCAATTGACTCGGCAACACTAAACCAACCTTTATTACGATCAAAGATTGTGACCACATGTGTGTTGGCTTTGGCAGCTTTGTCTTTCATGAATTTTATTGAAATATTACTATACAGCTGACCAAATTATAATACTGAACCCCACTTTGTATGTTTGTTATCAAAGAGTTCCCCGAGCCTAAAATATGTTGTCTTTACCAAGGCAGTTACCGGTAGGTTTTTGATTCCCTTGAAAACATAATTCATTGATTCAACGAGGTTAGTTGTCATATGGCCCCATCGCACCACATTGTCATATGCCCTTGTTCGTTTCTATTTATGAATATTATCAATCCATCTTAATGCATCTGTGTTTGTCAGTCTGATCTCGTCACGATAGTGTTTGAATGTGGGCTTTGTTAGTGCATACCCTGCGTTCACAACCTTCTTCCTTAGTGTTTTGTCTTTGATTTCCCGCATGACATTTTGGGCGATATGTCTTATGCAATACACATGGGTTGAGGGAGGATCCTGCCAACCGTTATCAAGGTTCTTGTATGCACTCTCGATTAATGGGTGTCTATCAGAGATTAAACATAAGTTAGGTTGGGGAGAAACGTATAAGAAGAGATTTTTTAGGAAAAAACTCCAACCCCCAGCAGTCTCCCCTTCAACTAGAGCGAAGGCTATTGGAAGAATGTTGTTGTTCCCATCCTGTACCACAATCATGAGTAGTGTGTCCTTATATTTCCCGTACAACCATGTGCCATCAACTTGAATAATAGGTTTACAATAAGCAAAGCCTTTGATACATGGTTCAAACGCCCAAAAGAGTCTGTGAAAAATGCCATTTCCACTAACGCAAGTCTCGTATGGTGTATACCTCGGCATTGTCTCCAAGATGGCAACAATCCCTAAAGAATATTGTTTAAGTTCCACCAAGAATTTTGGGAGTTCTTTGTAAGACTCCTCCTAATTTCCAAACACTCTTTCAACCGCTTTAGTCCTATCTATTCATGCGTTCCTGTACGAAGGAGTGTAATTGTACCTTTGAACCATTTGTGAAATTATGGTCTCACCTTCAAAGAAGGGTTATCGCTAATGACCGATAGAATCTCATCGCAAATCAATTAAGAGCTGAGCTTGCGATGGTCCTGCATCGGATTCGTGATTATACAAGTGTGCGCTGGATCCATTGACCCTATCTTCCATGAATTACTTCTCTTCCGGAAAGACATTGCTAACCAAAACGGACACACCTTGTTACGACAATAGATCTTATACAAAGTCATATTTGTCTGATTGACTCTATAATCTGCTGATAAGTCCATGTGATATTGTTTTATTGCTCGGACACAATCTTCTTTTGTACGAAAGTTGTCTCCCTCTTTTAATAGTGCTTATGTTGGGTAGTTTGGGTTGTAAAAAATATCTGTTGAGGGTTCATCGTCACCTAAGTCGAGACTTGTCATGTGTTGAGGTGGGAAATAAACATGACGGGGTGGCACTCCCTCTTCCTCGTTGTTTACCATGTCGTCAACAATGACTTTAGCTGCTTCTTCTTCTCCATCAATGGCATCGACTTCAGAGTGTTTGTCATCAGATTCGTAAAAAATTGAAAAGAATCAAGTTGTTGAGATAGTTATTGTTGTTGTAACGTAACATATAACTCAATATCTGAGAAACCGGAATACTCATGACTGCGAAACATGTTA